ACCAGAGTTTCTACCAGGCACTAACGATCCATATCCTTGCTACAACACAAGGGGACAGAACTCACTGAGGACAGGGACTGGGATGGTGAGGGACGTTGCCAAGTACACAGAGGGAATGAAAAATGCAGAGTTGAACTACAAAACTTGTCCATGTCCTGAATGTGACCACTCGGACACACCCAGCAAAGTGTGGTGGCTGGTTAATGTGCAGACAGCCAGACATGTGGTTTTTGATGAGAGTGAGGCGAGAGAGTCCAGCTGTAGGTTGTGGTTTGATGATGATAAAAGTTCAGTGGTCAAGATTTATGGGTGGAGGGAGTGGGGCTCAACCACTGAGAATGATTGGTGTTTGCTGTATTATGTAACACATGACGTACATGTAGGAAATAAGCTGGAGGAGATGTTTGGCAGGTTTGTTGGTCTATGTGATAAAGTAAGGGACAAATATTGGAGTAATAGAGATGTGGACAAGCTGACCATTATAGTGTCACATCCTCATGGCTGTTCTAAGCAGGTCTCTTTAGGTCACTGGGTACACAGGCAGGAGGTTATGTATAGAGGGAACAGGTACGCGTACACAACTTGTACCTGTCCAGGTAGCAGTGGGGCTCCGGTATGTAGACCTGTGCTTCGCTGGCCTTACCACCCACACAGTGGCTCTAACTCTAGTGGATTAAATTACAGTGGGGTGTGGTGGGATTAACTCTAGTGGATTAAATAAAAGTGGGGTGAGGTGGGATTAACTCTAGTGGATTAAATTACAGTGGGGTGTGGTGGGATTAACTCTAGTGGATTAAATAACAGTGGGGTGAAGTGGGATTAAGACTATAGAACACAAGTGACTTTACTGGTGTCACATGAGGATATGTATATATGTATATATATATATATATATATATATATATATATATCAGAGGAGTCGCGAGGTGGGGGCGGTAGGTAGTGATCGCACTGGGTGACACCATTTAGGGCTGATACCAAGACAAGAATGTTGCAAAATAAATAGAAAAAAATGCTTTTTGCCAGTGTAAGGAATGATTAAATAGATTTATGAGTATTTAAGTAAAAAATATAGGATCCCGATAAGGTTGGTGATGAATCAATGACACAAAGCTGCTAACCAGAGGCGTAGCTAGGGGGGGGGAGGGTGCGGACCGCACCGGGTGACACCATTTAGGGGGGTGACACCAAGGCAAAAAATAGCAAAATATATAGAGAAATACTTGAGGGGGGGGGTGCAAATCGAAAACTTGAGGGAGGTGCAAATCGAAAGTTTGAGGGGGTGCAAATCGAAAATTTGTCCCCGGGAAGGGTCGCTACGCCTCTGGGGGTGACACCATTAAGTGCCGCACTGGGTGACACCCGACCTCGCTACGCCACTGCTGCTAACTATGTAGAAAATAATGTATAACGAAATATTTATTTAAACGAATGCTATGCATTGTGGTTTTTCGTTTTTCTATGAAATAGTAGACAAATTATTTAAAAATTATTACCTTAATAAGTTACCTCGCCTGTATATAGACCGAACGACGTATTCTTTGTTTACTTGTTCACAAAAAATGTTTTATATAAGAAAATATCGCATCTGGACAAATCTAACAACAGTAACTGTTTTTGTTCCCTTCAGTGTCGGTCAACGACCTCACAAAATATTAGGGGGAGCGTTCGTCAATTTATATATATATATATATATATATATATATATATATATATATATATATATATATATATATATATATATATATATATATATATATATACATCTCATAAAATGAGAATTTTACTCGCGGTCATTTTTTATCCCTAGGTATTTAACCACTGTACATCTGGCTATTTAAATAACTAAAAATAAAAACCCAGGTAACTTTTTACATTGTAAAAAAAAGTGTTCAGCACATAATATTTCGACATTATTACCATCAAGCTTAATCAATCTATATGGAATATTTTCTAATTGCATCTTTTAGACCGCCTTATTTGAAGTTTAAAATGAACATATTACAGTCGAAAAAAAGTATTAGATATATCCTTCAAATGTAAGCTACCACTTACAGTCATTCATGATTTGTAGTACTAGAACTTGATAAAGCTTGACTGTTCTTGTAAGTCAGTAAAAAAAAAGTTCAGAATAACCATGTTGATAGTTAGCGAAAAGGAAAGCAATGTAAAACATAAACAGGGTCAACTAGTGTGTCAGGTCACAACACATCATGAATCTCGTGTGTCACAACACACCATGAGGGGACGGCGTGGTCGAGTCGGTAAAGCTCATGGTTGCTAAACCGAAAAGGCTCGAGTTCGAACCCTCGGGCAGATGAGGCTCGTTAGCTGGGGACAGCTACTCTTCTAGGAGGGACAATTCCAAAATTAAACAACTGCTGCCTTGTAGTTTGTCCTTGGTTGGACAAAGGCTATGTAAGCAAATCCAAAAAGAAAAGCAGGCTGAAATCGGAGTCAATGGCCTCAATGTCGCATAATGAGTTGATACTTAATCCTTAATTGTGATGGAGGCGTGGAGGTAAAAGTTCATGGTTGATACATTAAAAAAAGTATCGAGTTCAAACCCTCTCGCAGATAAGGCTAGACCCCTTCCAATACTAAAAATTAAGAACGAAAGAAGAAGAAGACAACTGTTACGGAACAGTTGTAGGTCAGATTAGAATAGGTTAGAATAGTCTAGAACTAGGGGAGAGTGCGTGCGTGAGTGGAATTCACCCTACTATGTAGTTACCCTTGTATGTTTATGTATTGTAATCCCAAGGTCGAATGTAGGAGGTCAGTCAGCGGGTTAGTTGCTAGCGATTAGGACGAGGGCTACGCTTGAATGTATTTGAGACGGAATAAAAGTAGCAAACGAAGTCACGAGGCGTCGTTGTTTGTCAGAGACCAACCAGAACGTAACAACTGGTGGCCAGAATGAAATAGTAATAAAGGACTTGGGGGACGTTTGGCGGATGCTGTCCTGACGTTTGCCGGATGATGTCCTGACGAACGCAAAGCCAGAGAGCGCAAAGGGTAGACTCAAATTTCTGTGATGTTAAAGGTTTGAGATAGGTGCAGGAGTCACAAACAAGTGTAGCCAGAGAGCGCACAGGGTGGACTCAAATTTTTGTGATGTAGAATGGGTGAGATATAGGTAGGAGTCGTAAACCAGTGTAGCTATAGAGCGCAGGTTGACTCAAATTTAGATGTAGAATGGTTGAGATATGGGTAGGAGCTATAAACCAGTGTAGCCAGAGAGCGCACAGGGTAGACTCAACAATTGTGGTGTGGAAAGTTCTTAGACTTGGTACGATGCAACTGGGTGTGTATAATTTTTGTTTGTTTGTTACTTACACGAATGTAATGTGTGTGAAAGATTTATTGTGCAATACCTTATTACTTGGCAAAATGCCAGTGGCTTATGAAGATTTCAATAATATTACACTTAAAACATTCGTCTCTTTTAACGTCTCCTAATATTTGTCCTTGATCTTTTACATAGTAGCTTTGAAAGAAAGAAAAATATCCATTAAGAAGTTACAATTTTGTTTTTGTTTACCTTAACTACAGTTGTTACCATGTAAACAAATTGGTTAATTTAAATGTAGGCGACTGTTGACGTTTAAGGTGTCTAACCTAATTTGGCATTAACGAAAGCATAGTTCTGTAAGAGCGATCGATTAATTGATTTTTTTTTCTTTTAAAACAACTGTGACATCATCTTCGATCACAAGAACTTATTTCTACTTGAAACGATAGACCGTAAATTTCGAGTTCAATTTCCATTGCATTGTATTACCGACTCATGTACCGTAGTTACTAGTTTTATGTAGTTATCATTATTTTCAAACGTTAAATGTTGGTGATTTTAGAAATTAAAATTTTAGATAGGTTTATAGAAAAGTATAAAATATAATTTGACATTTTTATTTCCATTATCATAAAATATAAAAACATCCATTGATGAAAAACTTAATCAGTAGTGCTGATGAAATAGAGATCACACGTTTCTTGACCTCGATATATGTAGGGATGGTATAGAGGGCAAGATGCCCAGACGTCTTTACTTTCCTTAAAGTCAGGTGGTAATCCTCAGATCTTGGTGGACTCAGGGTCGTCATAAATTCAAGTACCTGCACCCAGATCTAGTTACAAGACCATTGGGCTACGGTCGAGCGCTGCACCGCTCCGTTAAGAATACATGCCACAGATGACCTTTATCTTTTTTTAAACATATTTCAGGTGTTTAATTAATGCAATGTTACAAGTGTCTATAGTATACACAATTTTAATAAAACTTTACCACTAGCAGTTGTGGTTGGTTATGGACATTTTTTTTAAAAGGTTTGACAATTCACATCTTTTTAAACCTCTATAAATTTTCTCATAAAAAATACATAAAAACGTACTATTGATTTATGTTTTTCATTGCAAGTTCTGCATTTCTACGTTGTTTTTTTTTAGCTTGATAGCTAGGATTTCTTTTTTAATACACATTTTTACTTTACACAATGTCAAAACTTAAGGGGTGGTACTACACTATCATTAATATATCCTAAAGCATTGCAGTAAACTAAATAAGTATCTAAATAAAATTAAAGAAACTAAATTGATTATCTTCAATGATCGTGATATATAGTGTTATAGTCACCCTAGCATAGTTATGTTATTTATAATCAATACTCAGGTTCATCTTAATTCTACGTGTAAGACCAGACAAATTTGATGTTTTGTCACACATGACAGTGATGATAACAATTAATGAAAAGTAGAAATCGATGTTCTTAAGGTCACACACTCGGATCAGCATTGCCAGATTGACAAACTAGCAGTTATTGTTTTCATTAATGTATTAATTAGATAGATATAATAATTTATTATGTAAACAAAATGAAGCAGTTGAATTTACAAGAACGACGAGGACAGAATTCTAATAATACAATAGTACAATAGTTACAGACACATTTGAATGTGTTAAACATTTCTAAATCATGTAAAAAATACATGCCAATATATCAAACATTTCTATACTTCATTTCGCTGAACGTTGCAACGTAGAGGGTTAACCATCTCATACCAGTGTCGTCGTTAACACCCCAATAGCCATTAAGATTACTGGTATGGCAGCCGTTATACCACCACGCTCCATGATATACTACGGCACAGTTACTGGTCAGGTTGTCATTATCCCGGTCAAATGTAGAGAACATCATACCATTGTGTATGGCTAGACCTTCCCCCGCATCTCCTGTGTAGCCACCAACATGTAGCCTGTAGCCGTCTGCCTCGCTAGAAATGTTGAAGCTGGAATACTTGGCGAAATAATTCTGCCCGTTAACGAACACATCCACTCTTAGTTCTGTTAGACGGTTTGACGTTAAGAGATAAATGTTTTCATTGCCCAGGTAAAAATTACCTGAACTAAAATCACCAAACCCATTTTTGTATTCCGCCCAGTTCCTGTAAAAATCTATAGTCCCAGAAACACGTCTTTGGAAAATGGTCCATCCTCCACCGTCTGTCACTGTGTCACACATGACTTGAAGTAGAGAGGTAAGGGTCACCACAGGTCGGGGGTCACTGCTGTTTATTCCAAGACATGTTTCAACCTTACCTGTTAAACAAAAAGACAATACGTATGTCACCATGTTTACTTAGTTCAGTTTTAACACTACGTTGTTTTGGTGAAAAGAAGGGGTGAGGGCTGCTTTTTGTTCAACAACAGTGGTCAAGAATTGTATGCGTACCGAGTGTATGCACATGTAATATATTAGTTATTATATATCCCTACCTGATAAAAAATAAAACAAAATAAAAATGTATACAATAGTTCGTATATTGTATCTGTCTCTTCAAGTTTCACGAACGCTTTGTAAAATATTCCGGAACGCACATACTCAAAACAGTTCAAAACTGCTAGAAATGTATAATTCTCATGGCAGTAGAGGTAGTTAAATAGTTAGTGTTTTCTTGTAATACCCAATTGGCGTAGTTAAACTTTAAGCGTGTGTGTGTATTATAAGTAAGCGTAGAAGTCTGTGGAGTTTTAGGTGAAGGTATAGGTTGGAAGTAAACGTAGGTTTTAGCGTAGTTTTAAAGTTATTTGTAGTTTTTAGTTTGTATGTACATGTAAGTTTATCTGTAGGTGTTAGCTTATCTGCAACTGTAATTTTACCTATAAGTGTACATTTATGCAGGTGTAATATATATGTAAGTATAGTCATATGCATTTGTAATTTTATCTATAAGTGAAAGTAAATGTGTAGGTTTTACGAAGGTGTATTTTTATCTGTGGGTGTAATTTTATGTAAGTTTTCGTTTTTCTCTGCAGCACATCAGTATATGTTCTGTTATCTTTTTTGCAATCACGCATTAAACAGAACTTAACTTAATCACAAGCTTTAACAAAACGTTGATTTATTATGTTATCACATGCTATCTCATACATTATACGTTTTAATATTTAAAAAAAATGATGTATCCGACACACGCTCATGTAATCATTGTGCAACGACGTACTTAGAAATTACAAAAATACAAAGAAATAAACCAAATATCTCACCCAAACAAAACATCAAGTCTCTATCTGAGATGGAACCATCAGACAGGACCGTGATGTTTCTGGTTGTGTTACAGAACTTTCCACTAGAGAAAATTTTTCCTTGAACTTTTTGTTGTGAAGTTTTCAATGGTACTAGCCAGGAACCTGTAAGATAAATTATGTAATGTATTATGTATATAATATTTATAATTGCATGTAGTCATATATATATATATATATATATATATATGTAGATTTATATTTAGATTATATTCATATATTGATATATACAAATGTATATAAATAATATTTAACTTAATTTGTACCATACTTTTCTCTACATTATTTTACTGCAAAACATGTGAACGTACCCAAGCTACAATGCCTTGTGGTTTTGTTGTAGATGTAGCTGTAGCACGTTTTCTTGGAACTTGAACAAAGATGGGCGCAGGACAAAAGGCTGACTTGGTCAAACTCTACATCGATGGGCAGCATGGTTACGTTTGTGTCATCAACAGCTTTATACTGGGTTTGTTGTATGCCAACAACACTATAAGCTATTTGTCAAAAATAAAATAGAAAAATCTACAAATACACGATTGAAATATGCAAATTATATATATATATATATATATATATATATATATATATATATATATATATATATATATATATATATATATATATATATATATGTTACGGTCAAAGCCCGAATTGCGGCCAAAGCCCGCATTGGCCGACCAGTGTGCGCATTGGCCGGATCTCATGACCAAATCTCAAAGAGCTTAGCACTGAGAGGGTATTTCGTACATTTGCCGGCCAATGCGCAGATTCCCCGCCCAAAGGACAAAATCAAGTTAAGTTTCGGACTTTGACCGGGCAATGGGAGGCGATATTTGCCAATGCGTGCTTTGGCCGTAATATATATATATATATATATATATATATATATATATATATATATATATATATATGTTGATTTTGCATAGCAGCTCCAATCATAATGACGTCCCAAAATTAGTACACCATCCATTCAAATGTCCATATTACAGATCTAGATGAACTCTACGTCCTCTGCGTTACGAATATTCACATCTAAAAAAGTAACTTGACAACACGTCAGTCAGGCTGTCGCTTATCATTGCTACCTTTATCGGACGATCCAACAAGTAATCGTAACAAAACTAACCTTGTGTGATGATTCATCAAGTTATTGTAATAAAACTAAGATTGTATTAACAAAACTAACCTTGTGCTACAATACACAGTGTAGTCATGACACATCTTGCCAACATCATGATGAAAGAGTGTTAGGATATCGATTTACCTCCCTTGTTCGTCTAATTCTGTATCAGCACCTAGAATTTAATTTGTATCATGCGATAATTGTATGATGCCTAAATAATAGAATCACCGTCTAACGTAGACAATCACAATAAAAATTAAAGAAGACAACCATTAATTGTTAACAATTTTAATTAGTACTCTGCAGAACATCATGTTTTATATAAATAATATATATATATATATATATATATATATATATATATATATATATATATATATATATATATATATATATATATATATACTGCGTTAGTAGCACGTACACTACGTAATGGCATTAACTGATAGTGTACATGACGTCTAGCTAAAGATAGAAGCGATTCATCGAGATGTAAACAAGAAAATCGTGTTTACTTTAAACAGAACACATACAAATGAGATAGTATCTGACTATAAATCCCGCGGTGTAGGGCTTTATTAAAAAAGATTACCCAGATTGTCCTTTGTCAGCTGGCTCGTGTAAAATGATTTTCCCCTCGGCCCACTGTTTTCCCCAACTACCTGTTTAAACTTAAGATGACCTTAGCTCATCTCATCCGTCTGGTCTCAATAATTGATCAGATTAGCATAGAACAAGAACCAAAGAGCTTATTCCTTTAGGCACTAAATGTTTGGATTATGTTAATATTACATTTACAATTATAAAATAAATTTAAAAAATAGGTCTCTTTCTATAAAACCAAGTTTTTTTTTCAATTAAATTATGATATTCATTTAAATGTGTATTTCTGATAAAGAACTATTAACAATGGAAAATGAAATAAGAAATCTGTATAAAATCTATTATTACACAATCCCAAATTGTATCCTTTGACTTACCGAGCGTCCGCGCTGCTTTTCTCGTGGGTGTCCGTGACGCGTGACTTATTTAATCGTTTAATTAGTGTGGATATGAATTTTCAATTAGTATTTTTTAAAATGGAAAACCAACGTTCAAATCCAAATCCGTCATTCACTTCATCTGAGAGTCATTTTAATTATCAGGTGATTTATTTTTAGTCAGTACACCGTCCCTTAGTCCACCCAACTCTGATGGGTACCTAACTCATGTTAGGGTAAGTAACGCGGCTGGGCATAGTGCTGACCACATATGCCGAGGTCACAGAAACAAGTGAACTCTATTTCACTTGCACCATAGACTGTCAGTTTTATAAGGGAACTTTACTTCTTTCAAGCACGAAGCTTATATGAATAATAAATTAATTAATTTCTGAGTTGGAAAATTAAAACAAAAAAGTTTTAATAACTGCCAAGGTTATGAACCCTTACCACTTGAGTAAATAGCTTGCGCGTTATCAACTTGGCTAGGAACTCTCTATAGTTTCTGGAAAATATTATGTAATATTTAAAAATACTATCCGTAATTACAGAATAAAATTTCGTTTTAATTAAATTGTATCCCAATTTAACCTATTACATTATAAACTAATAGAAATATCAAATCTTGTACCATTAAATCTATGGCCGAAAGCTAATCATGCATTAAAACTCAATTATTTATTGTGGTTTTTTTTAAATACAGTAGGCCTATTCTCCGAAATATAAGTCAATAAGCCGTTAAATTAAAAGACGAAAGCTCGTAATAGATTCAATCTTTCTCTAACAGCTGATACTTATCATAGCTGAATGAATCAGCAAATATAATTGCAATACATTGAAATCCTAAATTGTTTGATCAACTCAGTCATCGAGATAATCCTGTCTGATGATCAAAGATTAAATTCAATTATTTCCACACAATTTTTTTTAAGGGAATAGTTGAACATGAGATTGTATCCACCTCACCAAAACGGTAATCCAGCTATGGGGTTCACGAACATATACACATAGAGTCAGACACACTGACAAGCTTGTAAATCTGGGTTTCTTACCTACACCGGAGTGCATCAAACATCGATGTCTGTCAAAACGACTATATTTCTTTCTCTATACTCTGAATACGCGCAAGTAGGGAAACGAATTACAAAAAGCGTAGATCGAACTACTTTTACATTATGTAGCATTTGGGCTACAGTACGTAGTATTGTATTTAACGCTTAAAAAGCTGTCTTTGAGTTTCTTATTCACGCTGGAACCTATTTTCTTACGAACATGTTAAAAGATGTTCATGCAAAATTCAAGAGAATTTTTAATGGTACGCTCTGGATTAATTCGGTCTGAGAATCGATACAGTGTCGACTAGTGGATAAAAGAAAACACTCAAACATTCTACTGTGTTGGGTTCCCGTTGTTAACGTTTGTCTTGACGTCTTCTGACCCAGATATATTTTATTATGTTGTTAGACATTAATCCACTACTACGGGGTAGTTTTAATTTCATTTTTTTCTACACGTTTTAAATTGGTTCCAGTGAATGAACGAATGTGGTTATTCATAGTTAATACAAACGGCAACTCTCTCTTGACTTTAGAACTTGGACGGGCGTGGTTCAGTCAATACTAACATTAGCAATAAATAATTAAAAAAGAAAGAGGAATACATGTTGATTTAAATCGCGACGTATTGGTGGGATGGGTTCAGTGAGGAGTGATTATGGTTATGGTTATGGTTATGGTTATGGTTATGGTTACGGTTACGGTTATGGTTACGGTTACGGTTACGGTTACGGTTACGGTTACGGTTACGGTTACGGTTACGGTTACGGTTACGGTTACGGTTACGGTTACGGTTACGGTTACGGTTACGGTTACGGTTACGGTTACGGTTACGGTTACGGTTACGGTTGCGGTTACGGTTACGGTTACGGTTACGGTTACGGTTACGGTTACGGTTACGGTTACGGTTACGGTTACGGTTACGGTTACGGTTACGGTTGCGGTTACGGTTACGGTTACGGTTACGGCTACGGCTACGGCTACGGCTACGGCTACGGCTACGGCTACGGCTACGGTTACGGTTACGGTTACGGTTACGGTTACGGTTACGGCTACGGCTATGGCTACGGCTATGGTTATGGCTATGGTCTACGGGGCAAGTGAAGTGGAGTTCACTTGTTTCTCGGCATATGAAGAGATAGTGTGGTCAGCACTATGCCCAGCCGCCTTTACTTTCCCTAACGTGAGTTAGGTACCCATCAGAGTTGGGTGGACTTAGGGTCGGTCTACTGACTTGAACCTGGATTCTAACTCGAGAATTACGAGTTAGCAGTCTAGCTCTCTACCGCTAGACCACTCCGCATGTTTACCACTGTTATTTGAAGCGATTTGGCATACAATGAGACAGGTCAAATCAACCCATCACGTAACCAGAGAATCATGTGACATGAAATTAAATGTTGCATTTTAACAATCGATTTAACCATAGACATATAATTAAAGATCAAATTATTTCAATGTGTTAAACATATTTGCACTATTGTCATTAAACATAAATTAACTCGAATGTAGCTATTGATAAATCCAAATGTTACAATAGACGACAATAAGACCAACTGCGTATTTAGACGGTTGTAAAAGACAAACTAGAGTTAACTAAATACCTCAATGTTTGAATATATTTGTTAATCACATTTAGAGATCTACCAATAATTAGCTCAATGTTACAATTATTTTGTCACCACAAGCAGAACTCGGATGTTTGAAACCAATATTTATACCGAGACATGCAGCATTAAACAAAAGCTACACCTTGATGTTTGCATCAAACGGGTGTTTAAATTCAGACTTGTAACATTAGATTTCCTGGTTTGTCAAACATCTCTCCACCACAAATAATTGAGCCCTTGGGAACAACTTCTCTTCTGATGGCCTGTTACTCCATCACGATACAATTTGCCAGTTACGTTAATATTTTAAAACCAACCAACATTAGCCAGTGGCAGAACTAAAAAAACCAACACCCCAACCCGCAAAAACATATTTCGCACCCACTTTTCATATTAATTAATTAATTAATTAATTAATTAATTAAAGAAATAAAGAAATAAAGAAATGAATAAATGAATGAATGAATGAATGAATGAATGAATGAATGAATGAATGAATGAATGAATGAATGAATGAATGAATGAATGAATGAATGAATGAATGAATGAATGAATGAATGAATGAATGAATGAATGAATGAATGAATGAATGAATGAATGAATGAATGAATGAATGAATGAATGAATGAATGAATGAATGAATGAATGAATGAATGAATGAATGAATGAATGAATGAATGAATGAATGAATGAATGAATGAATGAATGAATGAATGAATGAATGAATGAATGAATGAATGAATGAATGAATGAATGAATGAATGAATGAATGAATGAATGAATGAATGAATGAATGAATGAATGAATGAATGAATGAATGAATGAATGAATGAATGAATGAATGAATGAATGAATGAATGAATGAATGAATGAATGAATGAATGAATGAATGAATGAATGAATGAATGAATGAATGAATGAATGAATGAATGAATGAATGAATGAATGAATGAATGAATGAATGAATGAATGAATGAATGAATGAATGAATGAATGAATGAATGAATGAATGAATGAATGAATGAATGAATGAGCGAGTGAGCGAGTGAGCGTGTGAGCGAGTGAGCGAGTAAGCGAGTGAGCGAGTGAGCGAGTGAGTGAGTGATTGATTGATTGATTGATTGATTGATTGATTGATTGATTGATTGATTGATTGATTGATTGATTGATTGATTAAGTAATTAAGTAATTAAGTAATTAAGTAATTAAGTAATTAAGTAATTAAGTAATTAAGTAATTAATCAATCTATCAATCAATCAAATCAATCAAATCAATCAAATCAATCAAATCAATCGTAAGAGTTTATTAATGTTATTTAGAATATTAGGATTGTAAGTTAGGGTGTTATATATTATATCTCCGCTCCAAACTTCTGTCAAACATACTTTAACCATTACAACGCGTTTTATCGGTGTAATTTAATAACAAGCGTAATCATTTCAAGTAATAATATAGTTGCTTGTGAAACGTGAACATGATATCGCAACATTAGACCCCACTATGAGACCACAAAACGATACTTTATTGTACACAACATAATGAAACAAAACTATTTTACACGATGAACATAATGACACAACAGAAGCAATACAACGAATAAAAGAACAGCGGCTATTTAAGATGAAACAAAATATGATAGCATTTGAATATTTAATTAAAATGCCAACATTCATTGATCGGGGAACAATTCATTTCTTCTAACAATTGTTTTATGCTTAAGAAACTAGACGATTGTGACACAATCAATCAATATTGAGACGCCACTAGAGATTTAAGGTCCTTTTTAAATGGAAATTTCTGTTAGTCAGCAATAAATTTTTGCCTCTAATTTGTCTCCTGCGTTCTCAAAACGCGTAATGTCCGCCTGCGAAAAAAATAGTTAATGCTCTACCTATCTTACACTATCAAAAATATATCATTGATATAACAATGAATACACGATTACGTATATTTATTACTTAGTAACTTAGAAAAGAACACTAAAGGGTAGACGTCATATAATAACTGTAGTGTGACATCGTGTGGACCAGAGAATTATGGGAGCTAGGCTGAGCCAGATCTTAGTGACCATATAAATATGTTGGCTGAGCTGATACGTATCTGATAAACAAGATGTGTTGACAGATCTGAGTTAAGCACATAAATGTGTGGGATATGATTTCCAAGATCTAATTGACCAGATAAGTGTTAGCAACACTTTGGCAGAAAGAGTGACCATTTAAATGTGTGGGATATGTTTAGGCTGATGTGAGTTTACCAAGCACATTTTTGAGCTGAGTTGATAAAGGCCTCGCCAACTATAATTTTCTCTTTTGAGGTTATGAACTGAAAACAAATCGTATTTAAGAAATTTAGAACATCGATGATTGGCGCATCGGTTCACTCAACCGTATTGGCTCCAGCGGAAACACATACTGCTGTTTGAATGGCAATAAAACTACTACCCCAGACTCGCTACAGCAGGATGCCCAACCAACGAATGACATCAGCTGCTAAACAAACAACAGTCTTACAATGTAGCATGAGTTTTGTATGTAAGTCATAGTACCTCATTCAATGCAGGTTTTTAATATTTTTATATGTATGTAAATCATTAATAAACTATTCACATTCTCATGTTAAACAGCTCCCTTAAAATTATTCATAGCATCCGGATAAACTGTTATAGTTCTTCAACTTTGCTGGTTCCACTAAAGTCTTTTAAAATCTTCCAAATTACCCCAGTAACTGTTGCATAGAAAAAAAAACCCATTAGATTTGAAAGACAGGCAAACATTCAAACAACTTCAATGACTTATTGCCCCACTATAGTCTAATAGTGTTGCACACAAAGGTCATTAAATAATTCTATACTCTGCAGATTCTTTTTTAAAAAGCAATTTATGTGTATAATTGTTATTAAAATAAAGCAAACTATAGAAGATCTTATCTATAATAAGTAATTTTTCGGGATGAATAATAAAAGTTTTGTTATGTCATTCGCAGAGACACTAATGTGGGTTTAAGACAATGTCTGTTGTGGGCTTGTCTGGAAGATTTTGTTGTCAAAGGGTGGACTGGCTGTGGCTAAGAGGCCTAGGAGATTTAAAAACGTGCCGTCAACAACAGGATTAAAATGTTCAATTTTAATGTGTTTTTATAAAAATGGTTTAATAGCAATTACTATTATACGCGCGTACTTTAAAATAATACAAATAAAATAAACAGTGCATGAAAAGTTTACTTTTTCCAAAACATATAAAAAATATGAAAAAAATGTAAAGATAATATAAAATACATATATGACATTTGAATTTTTTTTTAATAATAAACATATCAGAGTAGTTAGTGAGAAAGTCTTACATTATATAAAATGACACTATACTTTTAAATACATGTTCTTACTTTATATAAAATGACACTATACTTTTAAATACATGTAGGCCTATTGGGTAAAACAAAAAAACAAATATATTTAGTAAAAATTACGAAGTTGTTAAATTAAGTTACCATCAAAAAATACATCGATTTGCTTTTTATTTGGAAAAACATAAATACATTTCAAAATTTCAAATTTTAGTTCTTATTAAGTTAAATAGTTTACTTTTATATTTTTAGACGATGACATTTAAAAAAAAATCTAATTCATATTTTAATCATGTAGCCTACTATAATGTAAGAGGATATAGATATCCTATATAACATATATAAGTGTAATATATGATTATAACTATGCAAGATTTTATACCAGTAGATTTTCTAACATTTCAGAGGATACACCATAAAAATGTTGTTATAAAATTAATCAAGACATACACATGGCAAACACTACACTAGTAGTTATTTTTCACACGTTTTCTTTAAATTGCTTTCGCGTCTGTTTGTTTTTCCAATCAAATCTTGCGATCGAAATTTTGGGCATTTTCCAGTTAGCTAGCGCGCTGAAATTTTCAGGGAAGCTTTGTTTCCGATGACAATATAATATTCAATTATTATTATTACTAAATTGATCCATGGAAAACTTTTATTGATCATTTTTCACTCCTATTGATTTGTACCAAAAAAGGGACTTAACCCAGCAATTGTAATTTGATGAAAACAAGGTTCGGTACTTTCCTTCTTCAGGCTTACTGAAGGAGCGAGCACGCGATTGGCTGAGTAGTGGTCAAGCGGTGTTTGTGTACAAACCTATGCAAATCTGACTGATCAGGAAGTAGGATGTTGATGGTCGAATGGTTTGCACGCGAGGGCAAAATGGTGAAGGAAACGGCAACACAGAAGAAACGTCGATTTCATTTTTTGTCTTTTTAGTTTAATCAGAAAACGTGGGTTTTTAAAAACTTTTTTTATGATAATTATTTACTTTTGACAAAATATAAACTATAGTGCAATATAGAGCTATTTATACTTATCACTTTGTTTTTTATTGGTCAAATAAAATTATAAAACAAGCAGTTACACACTTCGACACAAGTATACTGAAGTTAAAATTCTGTCCGTGAAAATTAATAAACGTTGTCTTTAACAAAAGGACTAATGCGATCTCAGAACAATTGTTATTGATGATGTATTTTTTTTAGACCCGTGACCTAAGTTTCTGTCTATGCTTATTACTGTCGTTGATGTAATAAATGTTGTATTTTGAATGAATAAGAAAACACAAAATACATTCAGTGTACCATAATCACATTTAGCAAGGCTGAGGTAGAATACCCCACGTCAACAATGGGGATCTCATTTTGGATCTCAATGGGGATCTCAATGGGGATCTCAATGGGTATCTCAATGGGGATCTCAATGGGGATCTCATTGGGGCCACCGTTAGAAATACCACATTGCTTTTCTGTTTGCGTTTGGTAATATATTCTAATGGCCTGCCAAATTTCTCGTTTACAGCCTTCTTTATAACAAAAAATAGATACAATTGTTAGTCACACGACCGCGTGGATGGCGTGTATCCTGATACAGTTTGCAACCTGCCCCATTTTGCTGGGCGACCAATCAACTGGTACCAGTTACTATGGTAGACGCACCTGAAGCTCGGGTCAACCAACAGAAAAACACCTCAGGCAGAAGTTCTTTCAGGCATGTTTTCTAGGCAACTTCCCCCCATCTCTCCTCTATTGAATTACATTTACGAAGTGAAAAAATGAAGAAAAATATAATTTATTTTAGAAATTACAGAGTTTATCAATGTACCCCTCAAAAATGTCTCAAAGTAATAGTTCGACGTTTCTGATGCCTAATGTTTTAATGGACAAAGGGAAAAAAATATGGTTATAAATTATTTTTTTCAGTTAAAATAACGTGAAAATTATTACAACCATAAAATAAATATTACTAAGCCTGTATATTTTTTATACAAAATGATAAAAAAGGAACAGTATAATTAATGTATCAAAAATAAATAAATGATGTTAAATTGATCTAAATTTCATTTCACTGAATGATAGATCATTTTTGGGATACCAGAACATATCAGCTGTACCCCAAAGGCCGTTAAGATTAGATTCGCAGCAATCGTTAAACCACCAAGCTCCATTAATTTCAACAGCATAGTTTCTCATACTGTTATTGTCATTATCCCGGTCAAATGTTGTGAACTTCATACGATTGTGATAAGCTAGATTGTCCCTTGCATCTCCTGTGTAGCCACCAACATGTAGCCTGTAGCCGTCTGCCTCGCTAGAAATGTTGAAACTGGAATACTTGGCGAAATAATTTGCTCCATAGAAGACCATATCCACTCTCAGTTCTGTTTGACGGTTTGATGTTAAGAGATAAATGTTCTCATTACCCAGGTAAAAATTACCTGAACTAAAATCACCAAACCCATTTTTGTACTCCGTCCAGTTCCTGTAAAAATCTACAGTCCCAGAAACACGTCTTTGGAAAATGGTCCATCCTCCACCGTCTGTCACTGTGTCACACATGACCTGAAGTCCAGAGGTTAGGGTCACCACAGGTCGAGTGACAGCGCTGTTGACACCCTTGCAAGAGTCAAGCTGCTGGACTGTAGAATCAATACAATTAGTTTATAGTATAGTTTAAATATTCAGTCTCCAACTTTCTGTAATGATGTGTATGAGACGTAGCGACCCTTCCTGGCGCCCGAGAACAAACTTTAAATTTGGCGCCACCCCCCCCCCCCCTTAATTATTTTTTATATTTAAAATGCACAAATGCAGCTAAACTGAGCTTTTAATTTCTTTAACCCATTTCGGCACTCCCCAGGGTCGGCGCCCGGGGACATATGTACCCCCCCTCTCCACCACCCCTCGCTACGCCTATGCTATGTATATAATTTAATATGTAGATAGAATTTCGTTGACAATACCTTTGAAAACGTCGTCATCATTAAAATTAATTACGTTAGACTATTTTTTACCACATAGTTTCTAGACAGTTGTGTAGACAGTTGTGTGCTTAAAATTTTCATTGGATTACACAAGCAAAAGATAATGTATTATTTTTACTATCTCGCATCGAAGTCAAAGAGAAGATATTCTAAGCGTGCTATAAATTCAAATTGAAATGTTAGTAAACAGTTGTTTCAAGGCAATAAATACAAACCGGTGCTGAATAGGAAAAATATCGCGTTATAGCTAATATGTTGAAAAAATACTATTAAAATAAAAATGTTAAAACACTACGGTTTATTGAAATAAATAGAATGACACTTTTTTAATTCAATCCGTACACCTTGGTAGTATATACTTTTACAGTTTTTTTTGGCCAAATAAACTTCGAACGAAGGGTTTTTGGGGTTTTGTCGCATTCGAGCAGATGCCCGTTCTGGCATTTGTCCTTCTTGCAAGCGGCTCCCGGGCAAGTATCTTCCGGGAATTTAACGAAGCCCTGTTGTCGCCCCCTCCTGTTCCCTCCGCACACATCCAGTGGTTTAAAGCTTTAAACTGAGTACAGTTAATAATAACGATGTTTATCAAGAGTCGGTTACTAATACTAAGTAGCTTTGTTTTCTCTATAGCAGTGGTTCCCAAACTGTTCTCGATTGGCAACCCCTTTTAATACAAAGTAAGTGATCCGCGAACCACATAGAATTGAAAATTTGAAATTAGTAAGTAAATTAATTAACACTAAAATAAGATGTATAGTATAATTTTAATTTTGATTATTTTGATAACTGTTTTAATGCGATGGGAGGTACTGAATGATATTTACTAGCCTCAACATCCGCGATTGTGTTTTTGTTAACGCCAACCTCATGTCATTTTCAATATTTAATATATTTTTTTGTTTTGTTTTTAATTGGTTAAATGTTGAAAATCTATTCAACGAAAGATAAGTAGAAACAAAAAAAAAACAACTAAATCTCGAAAGGCAATCAATTACACTTTTGGGTATGATTGAATGGTGCATACTACACCAAAACGGTGCGCATTTAACACGGCACGTGACGCGGAATCATTTCCTAAATTTAAGAATTCATATTGTAACTGATCGGCAATGCTGGCAACCACAAGGCAAGCAAAAAATGTGACCTTTGTTATTACTTCATGTGTGTATTGTATGTATTTTAAAACTTTAAATCATAAATATATTTACCTGAGGCTGTATTAGAGGTGCTCGAAGGCGTTAAAGTCGAGGTTGTTGTTGTTGGTGTATAAGTCGAGGTTGTTGTTGTTGGTGTTGAAGTCGAGGTTGTTATTGGTGTTGTTGTTGTTGGTGGTGGTGTTGTTGTAGACATCGACGAAGTGTTAACTGCAATGATATTTTTAAGTATAAAATGCTCATCTGATGTAATTATCGCTGTATATATAAATCAGATTAACATGTTCCATATTATTAGAACATGTGTATAATTATGTAACACATATTTATTTATTCTGTGATCTTTATTCATGTCTTTGCACAGTTCTTTAAACAGTCGGGTGTTAAGGGCTCCATATTTAATATAATTTACTACTTTTATTAGCAATGGAGTCGGAAGAGTCTTGCTGGCTAGGGCATACAGTAGAATCATGCAGTTAATCAACTCCCCAAAGTTTGATATCGATCGGATGAATGGTGTGAAACTGCAATCGACTTTTATTTTTTATATACGGTACATGGAGAAAAATCGCAACCTCCCGCGGCGCACCCTTGCGAAATTAAAAAGAATGTTTTTTACAGAACCCTTTTCTGGAGTGTTTTAATAAACTCCCCAAAGTTTGATATCGATTGGATGAATGCTGACTGCAATCAACTTTTATTTTTTATATACCGTATATCGAGAAAAAAAACAGATCGCGCCCTGCCGGGGCGCCACCCCTGCGAATTTGATTTTTTTTTGCAGAAACCTCCCCAGGAATATTCTCAACAACTTCCCAAGATAAGAGGTGTGGGGTTCGTGCGCGGACCTTTGACCACAGGTGCTTTGACCATAGGGGGTTTGACCATAGGGGGTTTGACCACAGATGTTTTCGCAGCAGAGGGCCTTTGATCACAGGCGGTTTGTCAACGGGTGTTTGATCACAAGCGATGTGTCCGCCATTAAACACAGGTAATTTTTCCATAAAGGGTCTTTGATCACAGGTGGTTTGTCCAATGCTGGCGTTTGATAATAAGCGCTTTATCCATATATTGTAATGATTTATTTTAAATGTTGTGTAATTATATTTTAAATTGCGGCAGGATATAATAATATGTTAATTCATTATATATAAATACAAGTCATCTAAACCATACAAGTATTACTTCTTTGACTGCACTGTTGGCATGTTTTTTTTTTATCCTTTCTATTTATGTATTTTCAAGTACATCTACATTTTTTATATGTGAAACTTGTTATATGTCGCATTATTTATGTTCCATTTATATTTAAAATAAATTCTATGAGGCCTAGCACCAGCCTTTATGTGGAGACTAAAATATCGTTCTTAAATTTTTTTAGTACGTTAAATTCTATTAATAGACTCCCAGAAAACATGTATAAAATCGTATTAATCGTATCACAAATTTAAATCAAATAACAATTTATAATATCTATTTTAAAAGTATATATTATGGTTAACCCCCCCCCCCCCCCTCTGTGGTCAAAGCCACGCTGTGGTCAAACTCCCTATGGTCAAAGCACCTAGGACCGTGGGGTTGCATAAAAGACACACACACATAGACACACATACATAACTTTATATATATATATATATATATATATATATATATATATATATATATATATATATATATATATATATATATATATTACACTGAGGTAACACGTTTTGTCTCTAAAGGCTCGATCAGCTGATCTTGTTACAAAAATAGCATAATAAACAGAACTATATATCATTGTTTGTTTATATGATATGATAAAAATGAAAGAAAGAGTATAAAATATGCATGTGTATACGTATCCGTATCTATATGCGTATATGTTTTCGTATCCGTATCAGGGGTAGACGAAGCTATGTGTATATGTATCCGTATCAGGGGTAGACGTAGCTATGTGTATATGTGTCCGTATCCCTATCAAGAGGAGACGCAGCTAAATGCGAAGGTTTAAGATTATTTGTAGGCGCAATCAAACTAGAAGCTAATTTTTTTTGTTGTACTGTTTCCTTAATTCTATTAAACTGCTGTCGATAGAATTATAACCTGTTTTAATATAATTCGAGTTTTTGTGTACATCATTTTAAGTAACTAAGCGAATTTGTAAGTATACATATTTTATTCCGTGTTTAATGTTTAAAATTTAAATATACCACCCGTACAACTATCTAACTTCTCACCTGTACAAAACAGCAAGTCTGAATCTGAAATTGAACCATCAGACAGAACCGTGATGTTTCTGGTTGTGTTACAGAACTTTCCAGTAGAGAAAATTTTTCCCTGAACTTTTTGTTGTGAAGCTTTTAGTGGGACTAGCCAGGAACCTGTTACATCAAAGTTAAAATATATGTTACCATGTATTTTCATCTTCACCAACCGCACGCGATTAGTTGGGTCGATGTAGACAAACACATTTAAAATTTATTAAATTTTTCGCAATATTTTATGTTAAAACATGTAAACATGAAAAATATACGTTTTCCCTGTTCCTTACTGGAAACACATAATTCTGCTCTGATTTATTTTAATAAATCTAGGCATACGACAAATATCAACTCTTTACAAAAGCCAGTATAAAACATGTTAACTCACCCAAGCTACAGTGTTTTGTAGTTTTGTTGTAGATGTAGCTGTAGCACGTTTTGTTGGAACTTGAACAACGTGAGGCGCAGGACAAAAGACTGACTTGGTCAAACTCTACATTGATGGGCAGTGTGGTCAGGTTTGTGTCATCAACAGCTTTATATTGAATTTCTTTTATACCGATGACAAATTGAGCTATGGAAGAAAAGCAAACTATTAAAAAGACATATACCGTGTGTGATGATACACAATGAATTCAAAATACATCTAATATTGTGTAAATATATAAAGTATATTTGTAATACGTCTTACCTTGTATCATGATACACAGTGAACTCAAAATACATCTAATCCACATGATGAAAATGTATGTAAAGTTATGAATTTTCCGCTTTTTCAATGATCGTTCATCCACTATTGTAGTAGCACTTGCACGAGATTTGTATCACAATGAGTTATCTATTCAAAGTATAAAAAAATTATAATAAGCTAAAATAGAGTTAATAAATAATTAATTGCAATACAACATTACTTTGTATTTGTCTTATACACGTTAAAATTATATACCTAACTAATACCTGACTAAAATGACTTTAAATGTAACATGAGTGCAATCGATAGAGCGCAGGACTCTGTTGAATGTATTGATACATCATAATCGTGAAGGGTTTATAGCTTATGTTAACCCTTTTAGGACCACAAGGAATGCACGCATAATTTCAAATATCTGTGCACATATTTAGTAGTAACATGACACGTAGATTTAAAAAATGTTAAAGGTTTTCTGATATCTTAAATAGTTTTTGAGATTTAGCATGGGAAATATATGTCTCTATGGTCGTCAAGGGAAAGTTATCGAAAATAGGTTGTGTTAGTTGTTATATAAAAATGTTAATTCGAAAGGTGATCAAACGTGTGTTTGTTGTTCTGGTACATTGGAAACTAAGAACATCAGTAATTAGAATATATGTATGTCTTTTATGAGTGTATAGTCATCTATGAATGAAGGTTTTAGAAGCAGTTACATGATGTTATGTAATATACGCGAATATGGCAGACATCACACGTATTGTTAGTGATGTTCTCAATCTTTTCCCTTGCCCATTGTGCATAACTACTGCGTTTTTCTACATTTAATTCATCAACTAGTGTTCAGGTTGGGAGGTTGAAGTGGACTTCTAGCCTCAACAACCAGGTCTTGAAGTGATATTTCTTTCATGTAATCCCGACATGGAAGCTCTCGCTATCATTTGCATATATTCAAGCTTTTTTTTGCATTATAGCCAGGCTTGAATTCTTGTTAAGTGTGCGTATAAAACGCTTTTTGTACTTGAAATCTATATCTTGGCATCACATTATCAACATATGAAACATGGAGATCAGGTTCCGTGAACTAGTAGTCTTCCAATTTAGAAGTGCATGGTATCCCATCACAAGTTTCAATCTAAAAAATCTACAGGTCTCTTGCGAATGAGTTTGAAAATGAATCACTTACTGTTTACTATTATCAATAATCAGAGCTACCAAACACTCAAAATATGCCAAATAACATTGGGATCTTCATTACAATCAACATCTATTGTAAATTTCCCATAACCATAGTCAATAACTTATATTTGAAAGTGTGTATCCAGAAGCTTCTAGTTGAAAACAATGTCTTGCTCCAGTCTCCTTTTTCAAATCTCACGGTGACGTTTGATTGTTCGTTGGGCAAATGATGTTCTATTGATGATAATGTAAAGTGTCAGCTTTGGGACTAGTACATCATCCCTCCCCCGTCAAATACCCACCCTGCCCTTACTTTGAGTAACACTAGGGTTAAAGTAACACGCCGTCTAAACTGGCCCAAGGGCTGTGTATCTTGTTTAAAAAGTATTTTTTTTTTTTAAATTCTACCTTAAGCGTTTTTTTCCAATAGGATAGGGCTAATCAAGTAAAATTATTTATTGATTTTGATAAGTGTTTGTTCACATTGTATACTTTTCACAACAGCAACTACCGTATAATAAGCTTTAATTATAAGAAGCGTGAATTCAAGTTAATAAAAAACATCATAACTTACCTTTACAGAACAAAGAAAAGATGAACCATAAGTAAACAATAAAAGAATTTTCTCCCCAGTCATTAAACATGAGCTTAGCAGTCCCAGAGACGTACTGTAGACACAGTGAGGGTGTTGTGTGGTGTATAAGGCTGGTGTTAGACGATTAGATATTAGTATGCTAAGGTAGGCGGGACACCGGCGGTTGGGTGCTCCAGCCACGTGACAAACGTATCTACGTGTTTCTCTAACGGGTGATTTTCTGTCGTAATATTTTCTTTGTTGAATTATCAATAACAGTAGGCGGGACATTCATGGCACGCATTTATACCGTGGGAGTTAAGACTATTTCTACTCTTTAGAATAGATTTGCATGTAATTTCGATGGTGTGGGAGTGTTGGTCAAATAATGTGTGGGCTTGTTATAATTAGAGTGTGTTACGTAAAGTGCGTCGTTGGGTGTGGTGTATGGAGTTTGATTTGACTTAATACATGTATTATAACAGAGCCACTTAGATGCCTGATCAACATGACGAGGCTTATTTGTCCTATCATGTGACTTGATCCTCAACATAACCTCATATATTTAGCTGATCACGTGATTCAACCACCTAGATAATTACCATCCCCGCCTACACATTGTATATTGTAGGATCTTTTATATTCAATTCAATGACCCTGGCCTTTGTGTGACGCCTCAAGTCGCAAAATTTGCTTCCTACTTTTGGCCGCTAAACCTCAGTCATGCAGATGTTTCATTTTTTTCCGGAAGTGGGGGCATTTTAATTTTTCCGGGGTGGGATGGGAAGTGGGGGCTGACACTGGTAAAAGTATATATTTTCTACATAAATTATTTCGTTCGGGGAGGGGGGACCGTAGGCGTTCTTTTGTGGGAAGGGGAGGTAGGGCTCTGCCAGCCTGCCCAAAGAGATGCCTGAAAGAAACTTTGCATGCAGCTCACTTTTAAAATTAGACGAACAAATTGCGTGGTAATGTTAGTGTCTGTATTTTTAAGTACGAGCCGACCCGCGGCGTATCATACGCAGCTATTTAGTTGTTTTATTTTCTACTTTTCAGTAATTCATTACTTGTGAATTCGACAGTACCAATGCTACCACTGAAAATATTTGCTATAAAATACTATCAGTTGGTCGTTAAGGACGATAATCCCCCCCACCCACATTTCCCCAACCCCTACCCTACCCTAACCCCCCCCCCCCCCCCCCCGTGAAAGCAGCCTCCTCTTAATTACCTCCCCTAAGTTTAAAACAGTTTCAAACTAAATTATCTGCCCCTAATAGGCGTCACTAAACCGGGCTGTACAATTGTAAACATTTAGCGTGAACCACAGCTCACCAGACCATGTGGGGGTTGGGAAGGTTGATTTGTGTCTAGTGAAGAACAGATGGGACTGCAAGGCGCGCTTGCAGCTTGTTTCCTAGGGTCTCCAAGAAGAGAATTTTATATATATATATATAGATATGTCGTCATTATTATTGTGTATTTCTTTGGGCATTGGCTTTTTAATTCAGTGGCGTCATTATATTGTGTCTTCTTTTCCAGCTTTAGATATGTCCATATTTCGTTTCGTTTTGAAACAGAATAGCCAAACAAATTATAGAGACGAGATAAATGGCCCGTTGAGGTTGAGGGGAGCAATACAACGGGCTCTAGGTTGACAGTGTCCGCAACAATTTCAATCCTCGCATCCTAAAAGGAGAAAAAATTCTGAAAGAAACATAATCTGCATGATTGAGATTTAGCAGCAAAAAGTAGGAAATGTGACTAGATTATAGAAGTTGGGTCTATGTTTAGTCTGTATGATCTACAAATGCGACCATTGTTCGTTTATATATATATATATATATATATATATATATATATATATATATATATATATATATATATATATATATATATAACAACAGTTTATTTTTCTAACAAAAAAAATCGTCTATTATTATTATTTTACGTACCTTAATATGAACTTCTAATGTTATCAAATTTATCCGAATTTCATTTTATTGAATGCCGACGTAGAATGTTCTTCCCTTATGATTATAGTTACAGCATTTGAATGTGTTTACATTTTATAAATATCTAAATTTCATTTCACTGAACGAGGCACAGTACATTAAACACCAAGTGATGCCAGCGCCATCTGTGTTGTGTCATTTACCTTAAGAAAATATTGATTTACACTACTCTCCATTTAACCAATAATTTTATATGTATAGACCCTAAGCTAACAAAGAAATGTTACAGTCCAATAATAATGAACGAGAAAAATTTCCAAACAAGATAAATTTCTTTAAGACCTGTTAAAGCGGCGTGTTTCTATAAACTAAAACAATCAATTGCTTACGATTATTGCAGATGAAACTGCATAGTAACATATATATATATATATATATATATATATATATATATATATATATATATATATATATATATATATATATATATATGTATTAAACTTTGATGTAACAGGTTTCTGGCTAGTTCCACTACACATTAAAAAGTTCAGGTAAAAAAGGTTATGTAACACAACTAGAAACATCATAGTCTTTTCTGATGGTGTGGTAAATTTGCTCTTTCAAGCCATACCACACATAATATATAGCCGCAGTAAGTTAAGTAAGAAGGGACCTCTTGCCCAACGAGACAACGCCTGCTTCCACCCCCTCTACACCTTTACATACACCTTGGACTATATTCTGCACCTTTGTCTACCCTTGGCGTTGAAATATCTCTTTCTGTTTATATTGCTATTTCAGTTGCAACGCCTGCTTTCATCCCCTCTACACCTTTACATACCATGCAGTTTGTCATAGTTAATTAACTGCGGAAGCACGTTTTACTTCTAAATTAAACAATAATCAAGGAAATCAAACGCGTTTACACTGCAAAAAGTAATACATTTTAACTACATATATAAGTAGGCCTATTATAAATGTAAGACAACTATGTCCCAGAGAAATTGTGGATGGTATAACTATATTGCAAAGTGTTTACTTGGTACATTCAATTGAATAGCTGTGCATAATATACCATATATTGAAAGTGGGTGTTTTATGAAACAAATGCAAAAACATGTAAAACAAGTATGCATTCATCATGTTAACTAATTTATCAAACTGAAATCAAACAAGATAACAAATGCACTATATGTATATACACATTTATATCGCATTGTCTATCTAGCGCCGTATTGTGACCGTTCTGACCACCTACATTTCTGTAAGTCTGTTGTTACAGCGTTGGTTCAGATTTAATTGTCA